GAGTGATGATGATCGTGTGTGGCTAGTGGATATGTATAGTATTTGGATGTGTGTGGGTGTGTGGAATTGTGCAATGTGTGGATGTGTGTGAATGTGTAGTGTGTGTAGTGAATGAATGTGGGGGGCTGTAGTGTGTAGTTGTGGGTGGGTGGATGTGTGTGTGTTGTATGTAATGAGTATGTGTGTGGTGTGGATGTGTGGTGTGTGTAGTTTGTGGGTTGTGTGATATGTGGTGTGTGTGTGTAGAAGGTGGAAGGTCATGTCAGGTGGAGGCAGGGGTTGGGCCAGCTGTGTGTTCAGTGGAATGCCCACACACACACACAAATGCCCTTATGCAAACACCCAGGGCAAATTTGCCTTCTAATGGGTGAAAGACATCATTGTTTTGTTTTTTTAGAGTTTATATTGCCTTAACTGATTTTCTGCGTTTAATTCAATATAAAATATTAGGACGTGAGGGGCCGTTATCAGATTTCTTTACATTGTAATACAAAACAATCCCTCCTGTTTGTTTATTCAGTGGCTGTGCAGATGGAAATAAAAGCGAGGAAAAGCGTGTGGAACTACTGCCATCTGGTGGAGAACATGGAAATTGCCATRTGGTGCGGGTAGAAGGCCCTTAAAATGGGATATTGTTGATATTGAATGGTTTTTGTTTTGATTTGACTTGATTTGTTTTGCTGTCGTTTTTGTTGCCGTTTGGTCCACTAGCCCTTCACCTCCTCCCAAAAGCCTAACTTATTAACTTCATATCCCCCTAACTGTTGAGACCCCGGTGCAATGAAGCTTAAGCATCTGGACTCTGGTTTTAGATTCCCCGGGTTCCCGTGATAACTTCATTACCTGCAGATCATGTTGCCTGCAGCAAGTCATTGACTCTCCTCTTTCTTCAGGGTCCAAGGAATGGGRTATTTAATTCTGTGCTGGCAGAGCAAGCACCAGACTTCATCCTTATCACCCATGTGATTTTATTCCAGCTTGCTCCAGCCAGAGGCTTATCTATACAACATCCAGGAGAACAACTACACGACCTTGCTACAGGAAGACTGGGCTTCCCCCAAAGATGCAGGCCAAGCAGGGCAGCTCTGCAGCACTACACTATCAGGCACTGCCCTCTCCTATCSGTACAAACATCATCCTGCATGAAACAATCAATCAAGTTATGTCACTTCACTGCCACACATGTTCCTGTTTGTGTTTCTGTTGATTCCATGTCAGATGATACATAACTCCTTAAAGGCACAGACTCTGCCTACCCTGCCCCCCAGCAGCCAATTCATGATATTAACCTTGCTGGACTATTATTTCAAAGTAGCAGACATTTTTCTCAGTCTAGAGAATAATTTGAAAGTGTATGGCTTTCAGAACTCCAAACCATCCAGAGGCAGAGGAATCAAACTCAAAAGTAATGACTGAACTCAAAACAATTGGATTCAGAAATGAAGYGTCCAGGAAAAGCAGAACATCCAACCTGTCACCTACCTGTCCTCTGGGCTATGACCCAGATGCTGTAGATTGGGGACAAAGAAACAGGAAGGACTGAGTAATCACTTAAAAACCATTTGTCTTTCAGTTTCTAAGAAGAAGCTGATAAGCACCTTTCCATGACGGAAAAAGTGTATTTTTTCCATCTTTGTTTTACTATTGGAAATTTTAAATAAGGATGTACATCAGAAAAAATGTTTCAAAAGTTGCCCTGAATTTTTTCTGCAGGACGTTTTCTTTTCTCTCTCTCTCTCTCTCTTTGTGTGTGTGTGTGTGTGTGTTACTAGGGATTGAACCCAGGGATGCTCCACTACTGAGCTATACCCCAGCCCCCCGCCCCTTATTTTTTATTTTGAGACAGGGTCTCACTAAGTTGCCCAGTCAGGCCTTAAACTTGAGATCCTCCTGCCTCAGCCTCCTGAGTAACTGAGATTACAGGTGTGTGCCACCTCTCCAGACARCACGTATTCTTTAATGTTCAACTCTTTATGACCGACCTCTCTAAGAGAGCAGAGAATAGGCAGTATTGACATCTAAAATGARACGTAAACTATTTCTACCAGTCCTTTCACAGAAACTACTAACCATGAACCAAACTGGCTGGTCCTACTAAGTCCTCTACCTCCTCTTATTCCTTCATAAAACTCTAAGCATATAAAGAAATGACTACTAGCATGAGCAAGGAAAGACACATTTTTTAAAATGAGAGAGACCATTTGATACAAAGTGTATAACCAATAGTTAGGTCGTAGTCTCTGACCTAGATGGCAACTTGAAGAGACTGACAGGAAGGATTAAGGGAGAGATGCACAGAGCTAAGAACAGCTTCTTTGCCCCCAGGGGGCCCTTCCTCACCATCCTCACAGTGCAACTTGACCCTCACGAGTGCACCTAGACCACTGGTATGTTATGCAATTTGTGTGATTTCAAAATCAGTTATCCCTGCTACTAAATCATTTTGCAATGAATATGTTCCTGTAGAGAAGTAGCCATGACCTTTTGAAAAAAAGACTGTTCTCTTGCATAATAATGTTTATGTCTTGTGTCCAAGCTCTCACACTAGAATAAACAATATCAATGTCTACTTCTTTCTTCTACTCACTTTTGGAGGGTATGTTTAATACACAGTAGGGTAGGTGCTTGACATGTCAGTGAGCTATTGTCAAACAATGAACACTCCCAGGATGAAGACTTACTATTGTTCAGGCATCACTGGGTCAGCTGTGTGGTTCCTCTGGTCTGGGCCATGCTAGGAGCTTTCGGCAGAACTCATTTTGCCTCTTCCTCACCAGGCAGCTGCTGAGTCAGCTGGAGGCTGCCAGTCTAAGTCCACTTCAGCCATGGCAGCTTGATTCTGCTCCATGTGGTCCCTCATCCTGCAGCAGGCTGGCAGCTGGGCAACTCCCAAGAGACAGAACAGATGTGCACAGGCCTCTTCAAGCCTAGGCTCAAGCGGGATGTTATTTTCCTGCCTATTGGCAGAAGTCTATTGGCCAAAGCAAGTCACTCWGGATGGGAGGGTCTGGAAAGTCACAGTTCAAAAGTGGGGATGCAGGAAGGAGTAAAAACTGTGTTCATCTGAAGGTAAATATCTAGCAAATATCACTAAGTATCAGCTGAGGTTCTGTGGCACACCCAGCTGTGTTAGTAAGAGAACCCCTGAGTAAAATTCCTGTTCCTGGGGAATCTAAATCTTATTGGCAAGGTTCACCAGCATCTTTACCATAACTAGCTAATACCTGTTAAGGCCTCAATAACATTTGTTTGATGAATACATTCATGGGCCATCTAAAGTATTCATTTTTCAAACTCTCATAGAGTAGTAGCCTATTCAGTTCATTTGTCATGTATATATATCRTATTTCTGCATGTCTAAGATACATATTGTTCATTTCTCAACTCTGAGATCAGAATGAGACTATGAATGTGATTTTTTAAAAATACTGCATCATAAGCAGTTTGTAGCATTTCCATTTTATGGTGGTAAATAAAATAACTTATTTTACATTGACAGCATCTTACACTGAATGAAATATATATGAAATATATTATATTTTATATATAATTTAGAAAACATGTATGAATATTTAGGCATGCTTCTCTTGAGGTTTAATTGGGAAAAGTTTTCCTAGGACCACTCGATTCTGTGCACAGTTAAGCCTCCGGCGATCATATGAGCTCTATAACTACTGATTTATAAATGTTAAAGCCAACAGCTGAGGCATAACAACTTTACATATTTATACATTTATAAAAACTTACTTCTCAATTTTTCAAACTGCTATTAAATGTAAAACATGTATCTCTTATGTAATTAAAGCATAAGTGTATATAAAAAACATGTACATTTCTAAGCCATGCACTTAACAGATTTTTTTTTTTGTAATTTAGTGTTCAAAATTAACCAGACTTAAGAAGGCCAAGAAATATAAAAATTATTAAACTGTATGAAAAGTCTGAGAAATTGTAGAAGGAATACTTAAAAAAAAAGAAAACTTTAGGAGAGATGAAATTAACTCGGAGAAAAATAAAATTTTATGACACTGAGGAATAGAAAACATTTAAAAGTGAACAAAGGACAAAAACATCACCAAACTAATACATGGTGAATTATCGGTAAAGTATAACCTGTATCAACTACATTATAAAGGAATAACACTGAGCGCTGCAATATAAAATATTGGGCAAATTGAGTAAAAGACATTAAATAGATACAACAGTATTTGAGAAATAACTATTGACATCTGCTAGGTCCGTGGTCCTATGGTCCTCTCACCACCTCTTACCTGTCCTCTTTTTCTGGTATTTCCACCCAAAGAGTTGTAGCTTGTATGGAAGTTGGAAGAAGAGGGCAGGAAGGAATAGGACAAGCTCTTCTCTCTCCTCCTCCTCCTCTTCTGTGATTGCCAGGGCTTTCTTCTACCACACCACACCTCCTTCCTTACTGGGATCAGGGACATAAACTCTGGAAACACACAGGAGCTCACCTGGGTTCACTGCAACTCCCCTGTTCTTGCCAACTCAAACCCAAACACACCTTCCCACTGATGATCACAGAGCTCCCTACCCCCAATTGAGGCTCCTGGCTTTATTGCATACTTCAGGGAATACTTTTCAAAACTGGACACATTTGTATTGCTAGCAAATAAAAAGGTGAAAGTAACTTATGACTGTAGCAAACATTGTACCTAAAAAGAGAAGAGAGACTCTGGACTTTCACAATCAAGGTTGTATCAAGATCTACAAAACAAGGAAGAGGTGATGACTAAGAAAAATAGTACTTTGTGGCTATGAGTTTACAAAAATATGTTATCGATTCATCATTAGACTGTTATTTACTGGGATAACGTTCCATTGGCGTCCAAGTGCAGATTTTTTTTTTTAAGTTTTCAATTGTTATGGTTTTATGGACTTTTTTTTTTTTTTTGGTAGAGTGGAATGGGCAAGATGAAAACCAGATGAAATTCACCTTGGTGAGATGAAGACCAAAATTTACAGAAGTGAGAASATTATCATCAAGAGGATGTTGACCGATTGTGTGATGGTATCCCTTGCTTTTTCATACAAAATATTTTTAAGAAAGCCTTCTGAAAACGCCTGTGACACAATGGATACAAAAAGGGATTGACAAAGGAGTTGAACCACTGCAGCCAAAATGCAATTCTGTACCAATCMGATTTCGAACGCAGCTCTGGTTTGTAAACTGAAAGAACAACTGTGGACAGAGAATATGGAGCCCAGCAAATGGCAAAAACACCCAAGAGAATAGCCAGCGACTTGGCTAATTTTTTAGCTCTGAGCAGTTCCATGTGTTCTCTTTGGTGAAGAGCTATAGAATCCGATTTGGAGAGGGAACTAGYTTTAGAAGTGGTTGTATTGCTATTCACGTGGGTTCTGAAGGAAAACAAGAGACTGTTGTTTCTTCCTTGTCTCTCTGAACCACAGGATGATGTTGCGTCCTTCCCTGCAGGAAGAGATGTCCTTGAAAACAGTCCATGTCTGGATGAGTGCCCGCAGTCTCTGGAGGAGACAGAGGTGAGTCCAGGATGGCTGAGGCACCTACCAAGATTACCCCGCTTCCAAAGGCTCCAGTAAATATGCACATTGAAATAAGCAACTAAGATGACTGGGACCAGGAATTCCAAGAACGACGTAATAAGGGGGATATACCATTTCAAAAAAAATCCAGGTTCACATTCCTTATTATTATTATTATTCCAAGTATTATTCTTCCAAGACTCTGAAACCAGAATCGTTGGCCCATTTACCAAGAAGGCCAGCACCCAAATGGCCACCATCTGAGTGACAAGCTTCAAAATCCCAGTATGTTGAGCTCTATAAGACACCTACAAGAGACCAAATAAGTTTGTTTCAATGTCATGAACATCTGTTGATGCACAAAGCATCCCACAGGCTCTCAGAAGTCTCAGGGATGTGCAAGAGGTTGAGACATGATATATAACATGGGTATTGTGACATGTGCCAGGACACAGAGTTCTATTTGAGTGGAACCTGAGCCACAATGTGGATTGTCTTAATGATTGTCAAGGGGAAAATTATAACCTTCAAGGTTAAACCTCTGACACCAAAGAAAATGTCAAGGTTAATATCTAAAATTAGAAAACAGATATTCCCACCAATAGACATTCATCTGAATGTTAAACTGAAATAAGGTACACCTGATCACATTATTTCTCAACCTGCAGGCTGGATCAGGGCAGGCATTCTTTTTAATGCAATAGAAGAGTCAATGTCACAATGCATCACGCAGAGTTATTGTTTGATGATGTTTTTTCAACCAAAGTAATATACCYTTGGGAATACAGATAGGCATCGGGAGAGAAATGCATGTACTACATCATCAACCTAAAACACAATTCTCACCATGGACCTACTCTGCAGTTCATTCTGGGGCCTGAAGGTGGCGTCAAGAACAGAAAGAAGGACTCTTACATCACTCCCAAGAAGATAAGCACACACCCAAGGATGTTTACATCTGCTGTTGGGAAATACTGCAGTGTTACTGAGAATTACCAAATCACTCCGTCCACAGCGTTTCCATCAGACAGTCACAATGCCAACGCTGACAGAAATGACTATGGCAAGTGCCACTGCTGGTTTTAAGGGTAGACAATGTTCTAGCTCCACTGGGTGACAAAGACAGGCTTCTACAGGGGAAAAAGCTTCTGTAAGTGATGGCTGACCTGGGATCACAGGATCCTTGTGTCGGACCTGAAATCATTAAGAATATCTTCTATGTCAAAGGACATCTAAGGCCCACCACTCTATACGAGGGATAAACATCTGGATCAAGAATTTTGTAAGGGCATTTAGAACASGCAAACTTTCTGAACCTCTTTTAGGTCTATAAGTTTCCTTCCAGTTCAARCATTCCATATGTCTCCACTTTCCTCCCTTTCAAGAAAAGAAATGATTTACTCAGGAAATAGGAACGTGCCTGCCTTTCACTGTCTCTGGTTTTTTTTTTTCCAATTTTTTTTTTAGTTGTTGATTGATCTTTGTTTATTTAATTATATATGGTGCTGAGAATCGAACCCTTGTGCCTCACACATGCTAGGCAAGCGCTCTACCAACYGAGCCACAACCCCAGCCCTCACTATCTCTTGTGTAYTATTTTCTCATGAGTTTTAAAAGCTAGCCTACAGTGTTTGTCCTATTTTTAAGGGGTATAACACTTCTAGCACTGTGTTTCTTTGTTGATGTACCTGCTAAGAAGAGATGACCAATGGCTGGAGGTAAGAGAAAACTGGTTAGTAATTTTAAARAATAATAAATATTTTTCAACTGTGGGGAAGYGGTTTTTCTCATCCCACCAAACTACTGGCATTTCTGAGGATATTCTAAGATGCTAACCAGAATCATGATGACCACAAATSYCTTCTGCTTCTTTATGCCACTAATTAATACATCTCTTGCACTAAATCTAATGACTATGAAGATGRTAACAATACCCAGATGGTCATAAAACTGCATTTAGTTTTTTAATTACTCCGTTCTGCCTTTGTGATGATATAATACAATATGCTGGAAAGTGATCTTTCATTATGCATAAGGTCAATTGAGATAATGGACATCCAAGAGATTTGAGAAGAGAATTCATCTTGAGGGAGTATTTTGGACAGATAGGCAGCAAAAGGATTGTTTGAATCCAAACAACCAGATGGGGTGGTCTCCTAAAATCCATTGATGCCCAAGTTCTCACTCATTGCTCCAATAAAATACCCAAATTTCTGTCTGTTGGATTTATTTTGTGAGGCAGAGAAGCACACTAGGACATACTGGTGTTAAAAATGAGATGAGATTACAGACAGTCTAAGTRCCTGTTATGAGTTGAATTGTGTCCCCCCCAAAAAAGATATATTGAAGTCCTAACCACCAGTACTTGTGAATGTGGCCTTATTTGGAAATCAGTATTTATAGATGTAATAAAAAATGAGGTTGTATTGGATTAGGGTTCACTTTAATCCAAAATTACTGGATTAGGGTCCACCTAATCCTATATGATTGGTGCCYTCACAAAGGGAAATAGACCAGAGATCCTGCATCTAATGGAAGAAAAAGTAGGCCCAAATCTCCATCATGTTGGATCA